TTTACTACCTCTAAAAATACAACGGGTTGCTTATTACCAACTGTTATATTGATTAAAAGTTTTTTCTACGCACTACAACTTATTGTTGTCAATACAGATTAAACTGGCTATATCTTAAACAAGGTGGTTAGTTAATGGTTATAAAATAAACGCTCATGTGTATCAAAATGAAATTAAATCAAAATTCCTGAGGGTATTTTCTTCATACTTCATGGATTAGTTGCAACAAAAAATCGTTTTAGCTTTTACTTACTCGTAGACTAAAACAAATTTTAATACGTATAAGACAATCTAAAAGTTTAAAAAAAAGGAAATTTAGTCTATTTGTATTCTAAATTGTAAAGGATTTTATAATAAAGGCACATCGTCATCGAGTGTGTCGATATACACCTGAATTTCCAAAAATTTTCAAAAAGATGGTTATAATATTTAGAAAAAGTTCAGAATACAACTAAAAATGGGTTTATTATAGACGCTGTAGTAAATTACCTACTTAATATGGGATTCAATAAAATTCAAAAAGGTCCTTTTATAATAGGGATATCGATCTGTCAAACTGATAAGTCCACGGCGCAACGTCTATGTAAAAGACTTTCTTGTTGGTCCAAGACTTATAAAAAGACTATTAAATGAACACTACCACGACAAAGAGCAAGATTCTCACCAATCTCACTTAAATTCTATGATAAATACAAAATAGTATATAGAGAATAATGACCAAAAATTTCTTTCTAGTATCATCTGTATGAGTTAGTAAGGGACATATTATAAGTAGAAGTAGGAGTTAAAAGGACTAACGGTGAACCTAGATTAGATTAGAGAAATGCGAAAATTATCTCAGGATAGGAAAGAGTGGAGGTACGAATTCAACCAGTCTTATGGCGGACGACCTTGTAATGAAGGGAAATAGTTTGGTAAGACAACTCAGGCATAAAGGGGTAGTTAGAGACATATTAGAAGCAGAAACAAGAGCAAGACCTAGATCAGATTACTGCCCACGAATCGTCAAGGATATGGGAAGATTACCTCAGGGTAGGAAGTAGTGGTGGTGCGTGTCCAACCAGTCTTGGGATTGACAACCCTACGGTGATGTTAATGATGATGGGAGATAGATTAGCAGGACAACTTTTCAGGCATGAATGGCTAGTAAGAGACATATTAGAAGTTAAGAGGAAGAGAGGTATACATGGATTCTAGCTTCAGGGAAATGTGAAAATTAGCTCAGGATAGGAAAGAGTGGAGGTGCATGTCCAACCCGTTAAGACTGGTTAGATTAGGTCCTAAGGGACTGACGAACGTATGATAATGGTCTGTATGAATGCCAGTATCCAGCTTTCTGACGACAGTGCATCTTCTAAAAAAGAAACCCCTACAAGAAGTTAAACATAAGCAGATTAGAAGAAAGTTTACAGCCAGTAGAGAGTAGAGAAAATGAGGGCGTATTAGAAAGATGAAAATTGAAATCCTCTGAATATCTAGTAAGGAGGTAAAGGATTTATGAAACCAAATTATAACTTGTAACCCATGAAGGTTTTAGTGCATTAGTGTAATTTTAAAGTCATTAAAACACACAAACGAATGGAATACTGTTTTGCTTGACAACATCGATCTGTATAGGTACTTGCTTATTTAAAATTCATAATCATCATTAACGAACGTGCATGCATGTAGTGTATGTGCTTGTGTGTGTGTGAAGCTTAATTAATTTTCGTCATATTTGTAGCAGATTTATATAAAACAAATCGGTTATTAAACAGTAAATGACAACCTTGAATTCATGCATTACTTTATGTCAATCTTTCTAACAGGTATGTACTTTACTTATTTTATTTTTTCACTGAAATTGCAATAATTTCGGTAGTATTTCTAACACACGAAGCGTTTCGTTTGCACGTTTCGCAATTATTTTCGTGATATGTTCCCATAAACAAATAAGCATATATTTAATAATTTGTAAGTTGGTTTTGTTTTTAAAGAAACTTTTATAAAGACAAGAATACCGAGTGAAACTAAATACAGTAAACGAATATAGCAATTTCGCAAATGTCAAAAAAAAATTACATTGGCATCTAATTACCCCTAGTTTCGGAATTTTTAAAGTTAAAAATATACATAATCCTAGTACCTTATTTTGAAATAATTTAATTTTAGCCATTGTACCTCTTGATTACTGCTAAATTAAATATCAATTACTAATGCTTACGTTTCTAAGTGGAACTAGAACTTACGCTAGTAAAAGTAATAAGCTGTGGTGAGAAACACTAAATTTATTCGTTTCCTGGGTTAAAAAAGTGCCTACATACCTATAATCTTCTTTCATCTAGCTACAATGAGTTTTCTTTCAGTACTAACAACATAATTAAAAAAGGTGAACACATACTTCTGTTTAAGTAATAATAACAACAATAATAATAATAAAAATGAAAGTTCCTGATTCAGCATTACTTCAATAAATATCAGTTATTCCATACAAAGGTATTTCATATCTAATTGCTTGCTACCTAATACATTTTAGTAAATTGCTTTTCTATAAAGTAGTAAAAGTTGAGGTTAAAAACGCCTTGATTTGTTTCCTAAACCATAACATTCAAATCTCGCATAATACTGAAAAAGTAAATTTTATGATTACAGCACAAAATTATGTTTGTTTTAGAATTAGAACACTCATAACGTAAAGTGTAATTAAACGGTTCTTAAATTATTTTCCACATTGTGTGTGTGCGTAGTTATGTTGTGAAAGTAATTTTATGGATCTGTGTTAAAACTAGATCATTAGTATTTACTCGTTTATTTCGACTGGCTACTTTGAATTCTTTGGAATAATCCCTCCGGTAAATAGCAAGATGTTTGCTTTGTGTCACAATTCGTCATGCATCGTCTAAACTCAGTTACGTACAATAATTAAACAATTTATAGAAAATTTGCTTTTATTGAAGTTTATTCGCAATAATTATAACAGTAACGGGCCCCCTGCTGCACTAAATGCATTCTACCAGTCAGTGGTTTAAAATGAACTAAAATTGTTATGATTTAAACAATTTGATACATTTAACATTTAGCAAAATTCAATTTAGTATCTTCTATTTTTCTTAGAAATACCTACGTTTTTTTTTATTTTTTTCAAACTCCTAGGAGTTAGAAAATAGGGACACATGCAAAGCAATACATTTTATTACTAATTAGTGAATGGTATCACCCAACCATGTCTTCAATTATAAATAGAGATAAAAATGGCTCCATGCCAGGTATGACAAAGATTTTACCAAAAGAGCTACACGCCCAAAGCTCAAAGCTCTTACTTAAAGTCCTTTAGCCCTTTTAGTCCGAATTGCAATTGGATTAATTGAAGCCTTTTGAATTACAAATAATAAAGTACTTTTATAATGTAATTCGCTTATCAAATCCCAACTAAATATTCATTAAATTACTTCAATTACACTACTTTTAAACCCCGAAACGATAGCAGCCGAAGCACATTTTCAAGAGCAACAGACTAAGGTTCTGTCCAGATCTGGTGTAGATACTGTACTAGCTTAACAACAGGCCACAAACAATTCAAGTGCTTCATCCACCGTATAGTCCAGACCTCGCACTGAGTGATTTTCATCTCTTTTGACAATTGAAGGCACTGTTGAACTTCGACCAGCAAAGAATTTTAAGACGTAGTTCACCTAGTTGAAGAGGACTGGTGATAAATAATGTCCCAATCATTTTAGCTATCAAGTTAAGACAAAATGACCCTCGTACTATACAGGAATTTAATTAGAATGGAAACGCTGCATGTCCTATAATTATCTATGTATTTCTTTATTTAGGAGTTGTAGTGATACATAATCATTTCGTTATTTTCTCTTGTAAAGCACGATGCATTTAATTTATTATTTTGTTTTCTTTACTATTAATTATAGATGACGAAATGTGTCTTGCCAAGCATTGTTTTCTCTTAAAAATCGTGACTACTATAATTACGTACAAATAATTAAGAGTTAAATTAGCCGAGCTGGCGAAGAAAAATCGAGTTGGAACTTGACTACTAACTCGTTATTTTTCCTTTCTGTACTTTAATGACAAGCTATGTACGTGCTCAATAATTTCCAAGTATGTGGTAAAAATAAAGCGTCTCAGTTTGCGCGGCATCCTTTTTAGCAATCATAATATGAATTCATTGTTATTGTCACTAAACTTTTATTTGACAATGTGAGAAACTTCGTTAATAAAAAGTTCATTACGGATTTATTTATTAAAAGTTCATGAGAACACCAATAAAACGTTTAAAATAAACTCAAACAATTGACGATCATTTCCTGAATTAAATTAGGAACAATTAATTGTTAAAAACGTCGGTAATAATTTATTTATTCATTGATTTAAAGTTTTCGGCTATCGTTGACTTTTAGTCGCGGAAATTACTAATTTTGTCGTATTGATACATAAATTTCCATTCTGATAAGTCTTTTATTAATTTAAATGTTCTCCGTCTAACATAATAACAACCTATTGTTGACTTTAATTGAAAATTGAGAGAAGAAAATTAGAATTATATAGATTAACNGTCAACTTTTAAATAAGTAGACATTAGGTGCAGGTCCATTCAGGGTAATTTTGCAATTTTAACGTTTTTCAGAACATTTAATACCTATTTCAGATTCCAGTTTTTCCTTGTTCGACAAATGCGAAAAATCAAGCCCAGTATAGAGTGAAAAGGTGTTTATTCTTGTAAAACCAACAAGAAAACTCTACCGACTAAAAGCTCTAGATAAAGCTCTGTAAATAAGGACGAAGTGTCGATTGTTGATTTTATAAGAAAAAATTGAAGAAATCTCCGCATTCGTTTCTTATTTGTTGAAGTTCTCTATTCTTTTACATTTAACATTACGATCAAGATCTGAAGGGCCATGTAAACTCACCACATTTAAAAACAAATATTTAGCACTTTAGTCCGTTTTCGCATGAAAACTATTAAAATGCAAATAAAAAAAAATTTAAAAATAATTACTTACATAAATGTATCTGTAAAGTAGATCGCCGTTTCGGCGTTAGAAAGTTGCTGTGGTTCTTCAGGGGGAGCCTAAGTTAGAAAAATTATCCGCCACCCCTCGGTGGTGTGTACGTTGCCTTGTGGAAAAATCGCTTTGGAAATTGTCCGACACACCGAGTTACCGCACTATCGAACGCGAACTCTAGGTCCGGACTGAAAAATTTCGGTCCCAGTTTCCGAATCGGTTTCGAAATCCGCGCGAGTAATCAAATGCGAAACGTGTTTTGCCAATAACAAAACAAAGTATCGTCCCGGTTGGCTCTGCTCACCCAACTCAACTCTTCCTTGCCTGTATGGTAATGTTCTGTTGTAGTTTATCGTACGTACAACTGATATAAACGCAAAAGAGATGGACACGTCCTGGCCGCCACAGCGACAACTTCTCGTCGTCGTACGTAGCAAGCCGGTTCGAACTGGTTGCCGAGCTTCGTTAGGCACGCTTGATAAAGTCGCGACTACAAGAACAGCACAACTTTTAACGAATAGTATTACCTAGGTATATGCGGTATTAATAAAGGTACTGACTGTATTGAAGCGGAATATGAGCTAAGTTCGACTTGACTCTGTCAGGTGAACGCTTGTTGTACCGACGACGCTGCTTGCGACTAACACAGGTGAGGATAAGAAAACTGGACTTGAGCTTAACCGGAGTTCACTTTTACGACAGTGATTCACGTGCTCGCCTCTGGACTATCTACGTACGAACGTTGCAAGAAAATGAAGTGGGAGAAGAGAGCTTTTCACACTGATAACCGAAAGAAACTAGTTATCTTTTTACAAAGTACATACATACGAACCATGTTATAGCAAAAGATCCAGAAATCTAAAATCTACTAGTTTAGATCGAATGCTCTTATCGAGCTTTCAAAAATTACAAAGAAAATCTACTTTATTCTAACTTATGTATTAGATACGATTGTGAGTTTGTTATCCTTTCACGCCTTAACTACTCAATCGATCATCATGAAATTTTGTAGACACATTGTCGACAATGCAGAAAAGGACATAGGATACCATTTATCCAGAAAAACAAAATTCTGTTCCCGAGGGATAAAAAAAAATTCGTTTTTGTCTATTTCACGTCATAACTACCCAATCGATCATCACAAAATTTTGTAGACACATTGTCGGTGGTTCAGAAAAGGACATAGGGTATCTTTTATCCAGGAAAACAAAATTCTGTTCCCGAGGTATAGAAAAAAATTAGTTTTTGTCGATTTCACGCCATAACTACCCAATCGATCATCATGAAATTTTGTAGACACATTGTCGAGAATGCAGAAAAGGACATAGGGTACGTTTTATCCAGAAAAACAAAATTCTGTTCCCAAGGTATAGAAAAAAATTAGTTTTTGTCGATTTCACGCCATAACTATACAAGCGATCATCACGAAACTTTGTAGACACATTGTCGGTGGTACAGAAAAGGACATAGGGTACGTTTTATCCAGAAAAAAATGCTGTTCCCGAGAGATAGAAAAAAAAATAAGTTTTATCTGGCCGATTTCACATCTTAACTACTTAATCGATCATCATGAAATTTTGAAGACACATTGTCAAGGGTACAGATCACATAAGGTACCCTTAACCAAAAAAAAATGTTGTTTAATGCAAGCGAAGTCGCGATTAAAATATTTTCAGCACCTTCTCTCGCATTCTTCTTCTCTCATATTTCGGCTGTGTGTGTTAAAATGTCGAAGAAAGATTTGAAAATTTTAATTACATTGCTTAGGTACTCGGAAAATGCATAAATTTTTCTTTAAAATTTAAACGATAAAATTGTAAATTATTCCTATACCTAATTCCACCATATTACTGTTACGAAAGAATATCCCACAGATGAAATCCAAAATAATGAAAGATTCTAGTTTTATTTCCAGTGTTAAATAATTTTACATAATTTGCAATTTCCTGAATTA